CACCACATTACCACTACAAATCTCCACCACCTCCATCGCCATCTCCTCCACCACCTTATTACTACAAATCTCCACCACCACCGAAAAAGTCTCCGCCACCTCCAGATTACTATTATAAGTCTCCACCACCTCCATCGCCATCATCACCTCCTCCATATTATTATAAATCTCCACCACCACCATCTCCTTCAGTACATCCTCCTTACTACTATAAGTCTCCACCACCACCATCTCCCTCGCCTCCTCCCCCTTACTATTATAAATCTCCACCACCACCATCTCCCTCACCTCCTCCGTCATATTATTACAAATCTCCACCTCCACCATCTCCCTCACCTCCCCCACATTACTACTACAAATCACCACCACCACCAATGAAATCTCCACCACCACCACATTACTACTATAAATCTCCACCACCACCACCTAAGTCTTATCCTCCTCCTTATCACTACGTGTCTCCACCACCACCTAAACACACTCCTCCTCCATACTATTACACTTCTCCACCACCACCTACTCCTCACTATCCTCCTCACCACCACTATCCATTTGTAGTCAAGGTAGTTGGCAAGGTCTACTGTTACAGATGCTACGACTGGAGGCATCCTAAGAAGTCACACGATAAGAAACATCTCAAGGGTACGTCTTTTCAATATCAATCTTTTTTATATATATAAAAAAAAAAAGATTATAATCAATATTTTTATTAGTTAGTTTCAAGCATAAACCAAGTAATGTTGGTAATTTATACAAATGACAATTGAGTATATAAATCTATTAAATAACTTTGATTATTTTTTAAACCTAGTTTATAATTTACAGAACAAATAATTAATTAAAGTCAAAATATGTAGGTAATCCTTTTTAAATTACGTGTTGATGAAGTGCATTATTGTTAACTGTTGAGATAAATTTTATAAATACATGACAATTAATTTTTAAGAAAATAACAGTCAACTGTATGTATTTAGAATTATAATAAGTAAATTGATCAACAATTTTCTTGGTGAGACTAGGTGCTGTGGTAGAGGTGACATGCAAGTCTGGGGAGAGAGAGATCAAGGCATATGGCAAAACCAAGATCAATGGAAAATACAGCATCACGGTAGAGGGTTTCAAGTATGCAAAATATGGAGCAGAGGCATGCAAGGCCAAACTTCACATGGCACCTAAAGGCTCAGTTTGTAACATCCCCACCAACCTCCACTGGGGTAAAAAGGGTGCGAAGCTCAAGGTGAAGTCTAAGAATAAGTACGAAGTTGTGTTATCGGCTAAGCCATTTGCCTATGCTCCTAAGAATCCTTACAAGGAATGTCATAAACATAAACCTTACTATTACACTTCTCCACCACCTCCTACCCCCACTTATGTTTATAAATCACCACCTCCTCCTTCTATAACTATAAATCTCCCCCACACCATCCCAGTCTCCACCTCATTACTATATAGTCTC